AAGCCGCGCCAGTCGACGACGTCCCGCAAGAAGTCGTCCAAGAACCGGTTGAAGAGGCGGCGGTCGAGCCCGAGGCCGCTCCCGTCGACGATGTCGTCACCAACGAAGCCAACGATGAAGCGCCAGTGGCCTCGGAAGAGAGCACGGATGCGCCATCGCCGGCCGCCGACACCGTAGTGGAAACAAAACAAGCAGCGCCATCCCCAATGGCGGCGCAACTGAAAGCCTATCGTGCGGCAGAAGACGCGCTGTTGACTTTGGCCGACGCGCCGTTGGCGACTGTCGTTCCCAGCATGCCAACCTTTACGATGAGTGCGATGGTACTCGAGGACGACGACACGGGCGCGGTCGAGTGACCGACTATCGTTGTGTCCCTATTTATTGTCCGATTGTCCATATTGCGTAGATGTACATTGCGTCCTATTTATGAACACGAACATGTTGTATATTCAACGCGTGTTAGTGCAGGAACTGCTGGTAGTAGGGTTGAATCTCTTCGCCGTTGGCGTACTTTTGCCTCACAATGTGTCGCAGGAGCTCCAGAATCTGGACCCGGTCCTGCTCGGCCTGTGCCAAACGGCGTTCGATCGGCCACGCCTCGGGCGCCGGGCCGCGCACCGCCGCCGCTTGCTGGCCCATCTTTCGCCGCAAATAGTCGCACATGTGCACTTGGCACTTGTCCGTGGCTTGGCACACCTTGGCGTGGTAGCAGAGGAGGCCAAAGATCTTGCCGCAGTGCTTGCACTCTTCGATCTCGTCGATGCGCGACGTCGTGCGCCGCTTGGCGTAGCACTGGCTAAAGTGGTTGATGGACGCGCGCACCTTGTGGCACCGGCCGTCGTGGCTGCTGCACTCGGGCAGGCGGCACGTCGACGCGTGCAGGAGCGCCTGGTTGTACACCTGAAACTTTTGCTCCTCGGGCGTCGCCATCGGGGGAATAGGACACGACGCTAAATCTGTCAAAAAAATATTGATGCAACCTCATTTGAATACCTTCCTTTTGTATATGTACCACATAAAAATAGGCACTCTTGGTATTTGTATGCATCGTGTGCTCGAGGTTCGCGCGCGCTGGGTGCGCGCGAACAAGCGCGCGCCACGTCAGACTGGCGTCGAGCCACCACACCAGGGCCTACGACCAACGCTACGCCTACGGCTAGTGCAAATAGCTAATGGGAATTTGACATTGCACACCGCACTGCCTGGATGCGGCTCGAATGAGGACGCGACTGAAGAGACGGCATCGCAACTCGGAAGTACTGTGTACTTAGCGGCAAAAGTGCTAGCTGCCCGGTGACTTGGCTCCTCTGGTGCCACCGACGCTCGTCATTCTAGCATATTGAGCTAGGCGATTGTTCATCGATAACACGCTCGTCACTACGACGCGCCTTCAGTGATGGCGCTTCGTAGCCGTTGTAGCTGTCGCAGACGCCAAACTTTGAGCTCAGTTGCTCACGACCATGTCACAGTCTCCGTGTGCAGTAGCAAGCGCTCTCTTCAGCCATAGCTTTAGCGCACTCCACAAGGCCTTGGGTAGGCGGCGGCGGCGGCGATCGACGCGCTAGACGCAGCAATGGGCATCGTCCCAGACGACCAACTTCAAGCAAGAACCAGCGAGGATTGTATGTCGTGTACTGTCTTCGTACATTCGCCTCGTATCTATGTACACGTACATCGTACAGTCCGCCGACCGAACGCCGCCACGTAATTTCGCCCACGTACTGGTCCAGAAGACGCAGAATGGAGATCGCGGCGAGGCCAAGAGGCGCTGCACCACGCAGTGCACAAGGGCGTCTTCTAGAGCTACATATGAGCCCCAAGCTTCAACGCAGTTCGAGAGAACTCGGTCGGCTCGATGGCTCGTGGCGACGCCTCTCCGAGATCGATGGGCCAATACCATGGGTCAATACAGGCCTAGCGCTGCTTCCCACAAAGTACCGGTACTATACATCAGTGCTGCCCACTCCACGAAGCACGACTTGCCACTTGTAAGTAAAGTCCCTTGTCGGCGGTGGTCTAATGTACGGCCGTACATTGCCGTACAACGTCAGTTGAAATCTCCGGTTAAGATTGAATCCCCATCCTTCGCCCGGATCGTCGCACTTTGGCATTTGCTGCACCTTCCCCATGGCCGCCACTCAACCCCTTCAAGACATGCTCAACCGCCTCCAGGAACGCTTGGCCGCCGTCGAGGCCAAGATGGGCCTCGGCTCGCCTGCTTCCCCGCGCGCTGCGGCGGCGGCGCCGGCCAAGCCCGCGGCCGTCGCCGTGGCCCCGCGCATCGAAGCGTACGACGAGTACACGGCAGCGTACCTCGCGCCGTTCCTCGCCGCCTGCACCAAGCTCGGCACCGAGGTCGAAAAGTACGGCGAGATCGTCAAGCGCGCGTTCGACGCCCAGCGCACGTACCTCGTGGCGGCGAGTGTCTCGAAGAAGCCGGCGGGCCCGGTCATGACGCTCCTCGCACCGATCCAGGAGTGCATGAAGGAGATCAACAAGCTCCGCGACAACCGCAGCGAGTTTGCCAACCACCAGAACATGCTCAACGAAGGCATCCAGAGCCTCGGCTGGCTCTGCGTCGAGCCGGCGCCCAAGCCCTTTATCGAGTCGTACATTGGCGGCGGCGACTTTTGGGGCAACAAGATTCGTGTTCAGTTCAAGACGTCCAACCCCGACCAGATTGAGTTTGTCGCGTCCTTCAAGACGCTCCTCGTGCAGCTCATGGCGTACGTCAAGGAGCACCACACGACGGGTGTGACCTGGAACGCCCAGGGCGGCGACGTCGCCAACTACTCGGCCGAAGCGGCTGCCCCGGCGGCGGCACCGGCCAAGCCCGCGGCCCCTGCTGCAGGTGGCATGAACTCGATCTTTGCGGGCATCAAGTCGATCGACCAGAGCGGCGGCAAGACCGCGGGTCTTCGCACGGTCACGAAGGACATGCAGACGTGGCGCCAGGAATACAAGAGCGGCGATGCCCCGGCGCCCGTGGCGGCCCCGGTCAAGGCTGCGCCGGTCAAGGCGGCGCCGGCGCCGGTGGTCGAGAAGGACCCGATCTGCGAGATCCGCAACGGCAATTGGTTTGTTGCGCACCAAAAGGACGTGTTTACGCTCTCGGATGTCAACTTGAAGCAGCAAGTGTACATCTTCAACTGCAACCAGGCGACGCTCATCATCGAGGGCAAGGCCAAGACGATCGCGCTCGACAAGTGCACGAAGACCAAGCTCATCTTTGACAGCGCGGTCTCGTCCGTCGAGATTGTCAACTGCAAGAACGTCCAGGTGCAGTGCAAGGGCAAGGTGCCCTCGGTCGCGATCGACAAGACGGATGGCTGCCTCGTGTACCTCTCGTACGAAGGCCGTGATGTCCAGCTCGTCACGTCCAAGTCGTCCGAAATGAACGTCGCCTTTCCGGTCGCCGAGGGTTCGGAAGAGTACATTGAGCGCCCGATCCCCGAGCAGTTCGTACACCGCATCACGGCCAACGACACGGTCGCGTCGGACGTCTCGGACCTCTACTCGCACTAAGGCCTGTAACGAGCTCGATTTTACATCTTGGTGTCTAGACCTCCGAGAAGTTGTAGATCTTAGTGCTTCTCTGGGATGAGCGGCAACATAGCGTTACTTTGGATAACGGGCGATGGGCAAGAAGGAGGAGCCGAAGGAGGTCGTCGTGCCGGTCGTGATCGAGCCCGAGAAGCCCAAGATGCCAACGGGGTACGAGCTGGTCTACAGCCTCTTCTCCCAAGAGGACACGGAGGCGCTACTCGCTGCACCGACGACCGCCGACGCGCAGGCAACGCTGGAGCGGCTCCTCGGCGTCGCCCACTACGCGACCAACTATCGGAGCCGCGCGCACGTCGACCTGTGCCACTATGCGCTGGCATTTTGCAAGCACGCGTTCGCGTGCGATGTGCAAAAGACAGCGCTGACGCTCCTCGTCGTGCACCGCCTCTTTACGACCGCGACGACGACGGCGGCCACGTTACCCGAGACGTACACCGAGCTCCAGACGCTTCTCACGCAGCACAGCGTCGAGATGCCTCCGACGCATGTTGGTATCTTCTCGACCAGCGACGTCCAGCACATCGTCGAGTACCTCGGGAGCACCTTCTTCCAGCACTACGCCGCGTACCAGTTGGCGTTCCGCGGTAGCCCAGACGTGGTGCGCACGACGCGACAGCTCGTAGTCGAGACACCGATGACGCCAACGCCACTCGCTGACGCCAAGGAGCTTGGCACCGAGACTTGCGATCCGTGAACATATGACGGCGTAGCATAGGTTTAGGGTTTAGATATGAAGACAACGACGGGAATATGGTGCTTAGAGGCGACAGCGTCACGCGACGACGCGCTCAACTACGATGGCCGACGCGCCGCCACCACCATTGCACACGGCCGCGACACCGATCCTAGGTGGACATGAGAACGACGTCGTTGGACAACGTGAACGCACCGGCCATTCTCTTGGTGGAGCACCGAGCAGAGCGTCGCAATGATGCGGGCGCCTGAGCACCCGAGCGGGTGGCCAAGGGCGACCGCGCCGCCATAGATGTTGACGCGGCCCGCGTCGATGCCGAGAATCTGGCAGTTGGCCAACGCGACGGCCGAGAACGCTTCGTTGAGCTCGAAAAAGTCGATTTCATCAAGGCCAACGTCCGCCCGCTGCAGCGCCTGAAGCCATCACGAATGTGTCAAGGTTTCAATATAGCAACCGACTTTCAAATGGGTACCTTGGGAATCGCAAGCGACGGCGCCGTGGTGAAGAAGCGCGGGTCGTGCGCAGCGTCATCAAAGCCGCGAATGACCGCAAGAATCTTGCTCTCGACGCCAAGTGCGATGGCCTTTTCACGGCTCATGAGCACGAGCGCCGACGCGCCGTCGCTGATCGGCGACGCGTTCCCGGCCGTGACACTGGTCGGCGGCACAAAGCACGGACGCAGCTTCTCAAGCGACGCGAGCGAGACGGGCCGTGCGAACGCCTCTTCGTCCTTCTCCACAAGCACGGGGGCTTCGCCTGTCCTCGTTGGTTTGAGAATCAACCCCGGATGAATCTACGACGCTACCGCGCTTGCGAATGACGGGCACGGGCACTACTTCGGCCTTGAACTTGCCCGCCTCCGTGGCCGCCTAGACGAAGAATCCGTCAAGATCGGTACCAAATGTCGATATAGACGTACGACCGCCTTGCGGTAGCACTCGGCCGCATACGCGTCTTGATCGGCGCGCGACAAGTTGTACTTCTCGGCGCAGAGCTCGGCAAAGTTGCCCATGGGCACATTGTCGAATGCATCGTTCAAACCATCCTAATCAGTGGCGTAAGATCTTACTGCATACATCAAAGGGTGAGTGTACCCGCTGGACAGCATCGACGAACGACACTTCGCCAAACCGAGCGCCGCCACGGAGCGACCCCGACATGTGGGGCGCATGTGTCATGCTTTCCATGCCTACAAGTCGCATGAGAGGATCGGGTCAATGGGGCAGGTCGTGTGACGTACCACCCGCCACGACAACGTCCCGAAACCCGAGCATGATGGCCTGGCTCGCAAACGCCACCGCTACAGCATGCACGAGATGAGACATACTTGTCATCGAAAGCAATGACGTACCCTTCATGCCCGATGCGCAGACCTTGTTGATGGCCGTGCAGGGCACGCTGTCGGGGAGACCCGCCTTGATCGCAGCTTGTCGGGCCGGAGCTTGACCGGCGTTGGCCGAGAGCACGTGTCCCATAAATACTTCATCGACGTCTTCGGCACGAATGCCACTGCGCTCGACGGCCGCTGCAGCATGCATCTCGGTGAGCGTCCCGCTGTTGGATGGTGGGTAGTACCTTTGATGGCAATCGCCCCAAGCTCGACGGCGGTCTTGCTCGCTAGCGCGCCGTTGAGCGACCCCATGGGCGTCCGCGCAATACCCACGATGCACACGTCTACACATACAGGATATCATCTTGCAACGTCGGTAGCATGCCACGGACCTCGGTTGGAGGCCACCTTGATACGCTTCGCCATTGGAATCCTTCTTGTCCGCTGAAAATGAAAATGAGCCAAAATGGTCCATCCCCGACTTGAACTTCGTACTTCGCTTGGATCGCCACCAGGTGCGAACTTCGGTGCAAGGCGATGTTGATTGGTGGTAAAGCAGGTCATTTCACGCCAGAGCACCAATCAGCGCATGAATAAAATGGTGACCTGGGTACGCTGGGGCGGTGATGATGGCAAGAGTGGGACAAGCGCCTTGAAGTGCGGTGAAATGCCGAATCTCGAGGTCAAATTCGGTCGAAAAGTCCTAGTTTGAGGTTTACAAACCCATTTGCCTTGGGCAATCGATTACAAATCCACGTGCGTTTTGTGTCAACCCTCGTGGCAGCACTCGAGATCCAGCAACAGGACGGCTCGTTCTCCCTTGCCCGCTGTCATCCACGTGATTACCATGCGCCAGCACCAAGTAGTTCCTCATGAAGACCGGGTCGAACAAGGCTGTGAAATGACAAGGTGCACGCTTCGCCGCAACTCAAGGGCAACTTCGTATTCCTGTGACAATCGCAAGTTATCGAAAGGGCAACATGATGAATTTAGGACGCGGATGACGCCACCAGTCGACGTCTTGCTCGTATGACGGGCACGCAAGTCCAAGTGATCTTCCCACCTGAAATAGGATTTTCACGTGAAAACGGTTTTTCACATAACACACAATAATACTCACCTTGGTCTTTTCAGCCAATCACCGTGTGTTGATGCCGCTGCGATGTCATCGGAGTTTGAACCAATCGTAACGACCACCGTGCGGTATTTTGGCCAATCGTATGTCCAAGTGCCGTTTGCCATGACCGCCTCGTCGCACGCCACGTCAACCAATCGCACACAGGATGGTTTGACATTTCAGCCAATCATATCGTTCTGCGTCGCCGCCAGCAACCATGCAGCGCCGCCGAACGCGCCTCGCAGTCCTCCACGAGCTCCAAACCGAGTGGGACCAAGCGATCGCCGAGGGTACGAGTCGGCTCACGCAGATCGCCAACGCTCTACAGAAGGAAACCTACGCGGATGGCGAGTCCTGGGGCGTGCTCGCCGAGGCCACGGGGCTGCACACGGAGCTGCGCCACAAGGTACAACCATGCCATCAGCTACTGCATGTGGCTCTACTCTCTACACTTCTAGCTACAGCGCGAAGCGCATTTTGTCCAACGCAACCTCTCGGTGCTCATTGATCGCTTGGTTTGACGCCTGAACCTTGTCGCTGGTGGTTCTTAGCGCCATGCTTAGGCCGAGGTTGTGGCGCGCATGCGCCACCTGTGCGGATACGAAGCCATGCCGTCGATCGAAATCGTCCAAGTCGATCCGGATCCGAGCGCGACGCTTTCTACTTTTCAATCTGGTAACCTTGTTCCTGACGCCATGATACTACTGCAACCGATCGCGATGTAGAAGCCTACGTGCGCGAGCTTGTGCACATGTACGAGGCCGAGCTTCTGGCAAAGACGCTTCTCGTCACCGACGTGCTCGACTGCGCCGGCCACAACGCGGCGCTTCTGTACGTGGCCTCGTGGCAGATGCAGCCGTTCGTGTCCAAGGCGCGGGTCGCAGAGATAACAGCGCTCTTGACGCTGGACGCCAACCCAAAGAAGCTTGCGCCGTCCGCGAGCCACAAGCTCGTGCGCTAACACTTTGAAAAAGCTGCGAAACTGCGAAACAACGTGGGCTAGTATAGGCGTACCGTAGAATGGACGTCGCGGGGCTTCGTGCTGCCACGAGTCCATGCCGGCGTTGCATGGATGCGGCACGTTCCGATCCTGTTCCTCCCGCGTCTCTAGCGCGTGCGCCTCTGGCCGACAGAAACAACCCGGGCGCGCCAGGGACAAGGGGTGCCCCGGCCAACCCCGGCGTTTCGCAGGCGGCGCCGACAGCCTCGTCGTACTAATGGCTCGCCCGTCCAGCGCGCACCCATTCGAGGTAAACACGAGGCCTGCGACTCGCGTTGCACATCGGCCTTGAAGTCCAAGGAGCTTCAACAAGTGCACTTTGGACGCGTGACACGGCGCTGTCAACATTCGGAAACTCACTTGCTCTTTGTATGTGCCTGCCAATCGCATACAAGGAGGGCCCCGGGGCACCGGGGCGAGAGTGACTCACAGCGCTGCAACCTCGGCTTTGTCGGCTAGTGGGTGCGATCGCAAACACTAAATACACGCAACTCGTGGCGCTGTTGGCACTGCGTCTGCACGTCGTCGTGAGGCCGCCTGTCTAGGACGAGCGATAGATATCTGAGTCCGGCGCGACAAGGCGCTGTCGCAGTCGACGCGACGGCCTGTACGGAAGAGAGTCGCTGGTGTTGGGGCGAGTTGCGTGCGATTAGCCGCAGGAAAGCATCTGTCCTTGTGGCATCTGTCGACGTAACTCGCTGGTGATTTCCATTTCCGCATTTGAATCGTGGCGTGAACCACCAAGGTGAGAGGACGCACTTGACCGATCACTCGCTCATGGCGGCGGCGAGTAGGAGGTGCCTCATGGACAGTCCCTCCAAGTACCACGTGCTGGCGACGCCCGTCGAAGGGTATGCACTTCCGATATGACGTGGCGTCCTAGCATCGTCGATGGACTCTAGGCGCAGCAGTGAGGATTCGACATTGCGCAATCGCAACCTGAGCCGCCACGAGAGCAATCATGGCATGCTACCGCCCATCAGCATTGTCACGCGCGACTCGATGCCAAGCAAAGCGAGCCTCGGCGGCCGCCGCGAGTCGCGCATGAGCCGCGCAAGCCGGTCCGCCCGCGACGACGCGTTCGGGAAGCTCAAGATCAACATGGGTCAAGAGCGCGCGGTCGGTGCGAGCAACCGCTTCCGACGTACGCCATACGCTCTCATTTCGCTCAGTTCTTATGTCGACGTGTAGCCGATTTCAAGTTCAACCTCGGGCTGGCGCTGCGGACCGCCGTCGGCGTCATGATTGCATCGATGGTGCTCACGACTGCGTCGACCAACCCCAAGGCCCCGGGCAACGGCCTCAACCTGAGCACGCGGCCAGTCTCGGTCAACGACTCGATCATCGTGGCGCCGGCGCCGCTTCATGTCAAGCAATGGTACTTCTTCCCCGAGTGGTACATCCTCGGCGGCATCTCGTACGTGGCGACGGCGACCATCTTCTCTTGCGGCAAGAACATTGGCTCGACCGTGCGCGAGATTTACCAGCAGATCTCCGGCGTCGGCGTCGCCTTCCTGTACAACCTTGCGATCTTCTCAGTGTTCCAGCCCGAGCTCTTTACGAGCTTGGCCGAAGGTACCTACCTACAGTATCATGGACACTGGCAGTACGTACGTACGCGTAGCCAACAAGGCTGTCGACGATGGCAAGATGACCAAGATCGAAAAGGCGTTCAGTGGCACGCCGTACTACGTGCACCAAAACGACTTTTACACGATCCTGCCCTTCATCATGGTGTTTACGCTGGTCATGCTCATCATTCCTGTGGTAAAGTTGACAATCTTTTGCGTGTTTCTAGTCTTCCAACGCTCAACCGTGATGTTGGGTAGGAAAACAACACGAAAAAATTCGCGATCGGCAACAATTTGTACTTCTCGCTCACACTCGCGAGTCCCAACGACTTTATCGACCCGAGCAAGCTCAAGGGCCTCAACGATCCGTACTACTCGACCTCCAACATCCTCAAGAACCTCGCCGTGTACATGCTTCTCGGCGTCCTTGGCGCGTGCATTGCGCTCTTTGTGCTCTGGGTGCCATACCCGATCTTGTACGACACACGACAAGCTGTCCTCGTGATACTCATACTTGTCTAGTGCAATCCGGCGGCTCCAAAAGGAAACCAAGTCGGCCGCCGATACAGTCCAAGATTTGCTCAACTTAATTGTCGACTCGTACTGCTTCAAGAACAAGGACGTCGACCACATGAACTTTCTCAAGCTCAAACTCAAGCGCAAGTTTGAACTGGCGCATGCGAAGAAGGACACGATGACCGCGCTCCTCAACGACGTGTGGTGGGAGCAGAGCGTCGGCTTGCATTATGCACTCGAGTTTCGGACGTCGGTCACCAAGACGTACATTGAGCTCTACGCGTCGCTCATCGACAACCTCCGCGCGATGAACCAAGCGATCCAGCTCGAGCGCTACGAGCGGCTGCACACGTCCTTTATGAAGAAGCTGCAGAAGGACGTGTACATGATCCAGCTCCGGGCAACCGCCGTCCTGAACGAGGTTTCCGACAAGATCCACACCAACACCAAGAGTGCGTCCGCTACTCGCTATCGTCAATCTCATGATCAACCTGTAGAGCTCGAGCTGACGGAGATTCGGGACCTTGAACGTCAAATGGAGAAGCTGCTGCTGGACTTTCAGAAGACGCAAAACAAGATTTACCAGCGTGAGAAGCCAACCGCGTCGGACGTCGAGGGCAACATTCCGCTCAACCTCTTCCTCTTCTCGCTGCAGTCGTTTTGCACGACATTGGTCGAGTTTGAAGACACGTACAACACCAAGGACCACAAGACGGTACGTATCCCTATCCCTATATAAGCCCCAGGAACTGAGGATGTTTAGGGCTCGCGCATGAAAAAGTTTTTCAAAAACACTGTGCTCTCGTACTTTGACAGCTCCAAGTACACCAAGATCAAGTTTCAAAATGCGTTCAAAATCTGGTTTGCGATTCTTGCCGGCTGCTTCTTTTCGGTCTACGTCTTTGGCTACTCGGCGACCACGGCCTCGACGGTCGCGTACGTCATGGGCAACCGCATCGGTACATACACCACGATCCCACCCAACGCGAGTACTTACGGTGTCTAGGCGGCTCGTTCAGTGTGACGGTCAACCGGGTCGGTGGCGTCGTCGCTGGCTCGATCATCCCGTCCGTCTTTCTCTTCTTCATTTGCTCGTATGGCTGCGTCGACCACACGCTCGTCGTGTTCCTCACCAACGTCATCCTCTTCGTCTGGGTCACGTTCTCCATGTACATCAAGTGGAAGGGTGGGTACGAGTCGTACGCGGGTCTCGTCGCTGCGTACGTGGCCGCCGGCGTCCTCCTCAAGGGCTGCGACTGCTCCAAAGACAGCATCACGCCCATCTCGTCGTACTCGAACCTGTGCCAAATGTCGCTCGGCATCATCCTCTTCATCTTTGTCGAGCTGTGCTTTTGCCCGCAGTCGGCGATCGGCATGCTGCGCGAGAACGTGCAGAAGCAAATGAAGCTCGTCCAGACCGCGTTCACGACGCTCTTTGAGCAAAACCTGAGCGCGAACGGCTCGATTGACGAAGACAAGATGGACGAAGTGCGCAAGATCGTCACCAAGCAAGTGCCGGCGCTCATCACCGAGCAAGTGTCGCTCTTGCGGGAGGCGTCGTTTGAACCGCTGCTGTGGAAGCCGGCGTTCAGCTATCAAAAGTACGAAGCCGTGCTCGACTGCTGCCAGCGCCTCCTCAACAACTCGCTCATTTTGTACAAGCTCGTGTCGTGGTTTCAATTCCGGAAGGCGCAAAAGGCGGCCGACGGCGAAGTCCTCGAGAAGAAGCTCAAGCTCGACGAGATCATCCGCGCGTCCATCAACACGGAGCACGTCGTGACAACCAAAGAGGCGTGGGCCTTCTCGACCAAAGAGCTCGGCGCCGCGATCCACGATACGTTTGATACGCTCCACTCGCTCTTTGGCGAGGACTTTCGCTATGCCGACGCCGACCAGACCGCGCTCTTTATGCAGATGAAGGAAGCGTTCCGGCTTGCCGACACCGACTGCTCGGGCGAGATTGACGTCGACGAGGTCAAGACGATGCTCGAGCTCATCTTCCAGCAGTCGGGCGCGATGAAGATCGACGAGATCGACGAGTATGTGGCCGAATTCATGGAGATCGTCGACAAGGACAAGAGCGGCAAGGTGTCGTTCGAGGAGTTTATGGAAGCGCTCGAGCACGGCCTCAAGCTCGAAGTCGAGGTCTTCCAGCACAAGTCGCGGCCGGTCGCGCTCCCGGCCATCACGGAGGACGATGTGAGCGTCAACGTCGAGAAGCTCGCGCGGCAGCAGTCGTCGCCGGCCAAGATGATGTCGCCGATGACGCGGTCCCACGACATGCTCAACGTCGACTCGTTCTCGCTGGTCGACATTGCAAAGACAATGCGCGCGTCGTACGCCGAGTGGCTCATGGAGAAGCAGCGCTACGAAAAGGTGTCGATGGAAGAGCTCCTGCTCCTCAACTGCCTCATCAGCGGCGTCTCGGGCATCGCGCGCAACCTCGCGCTCCTCGAGGAAATGACGGTCCAGCAGTAGGCGCGACCTTTTGGCCACAGGGCGACGACCTGTATACTCGATGTACCATCAATTTGCACAACCATTTCTTCTTTCCGAGTGTATATTGAGATAGAGACTCGTGCAAGGAACGGCAAACTGTTCTCCGAGCAACAGACATATGTGTACTTTAGTCTATAGAAAATACGACTACTGGGCCGACACATCGGCAAGACGCTGCAGCTCTATGGCTATGCCGCTGACGCACCCCATGAGGCCGTTGAGCAAGAGCAGCTCGTCCATCGAGACCTTCTCAAACCGCCGGTCTTGTAAAAGCCAAGCGGCGTACGCGGTTCGCATGTTCTGCGCTGTATCTGTCAGTGCAACGTCGTCGAGGTCGAGAAGCTCTTGCGGATGTAGACTCGGACGCGAGGGACCCCGCAGCACGAGACCGTCGTCGATAGCGTCCATGAATTCTTGGCATGACACGGCGCCGCTCTTGTCCTTGTCCACGAGCGCCATAAACGCTCGCACGTGATCGTCGAGCCGCACAGAGTGGCCCCACAGCTCCCGTAGCACGCGCTCGACTTCAGCGACATCGAGGACGCCGTTGCCGTCAACGTCGGCGCGCCGGAACGCCTCTTTCATTTGCAAAAAATGCGCGACCCGATCCGCATCGGCCAACGCAAAAGCGTCGCCAAAGACAATCTCTAGCGACGCAAACGTATCGTGGATCGCGCCGCCGAGCTCGGTCGTCGAGAACGTCCACGCGAGCGTCGGTGGCGCCGTCGCGCGCTGCGAGACTGTCGACCGCCGGTGCAAGTCGCCAGCGTTCACCGAGAGCCGGCGCTGCACCGAGTGGCGACGGCGCTGAAACCACTTTGCGAGCTTGAACATGACGCGCGTATGGTGCTCGAGCCGCTTCATGCTGTCACAGACGGCGGCAAACTTGGTTATCGGGAACGGTGGGCGCCACAACCGCGGCTCGTACTGCGCCTCGGTGAGCAGGCCCGGTTGCGCCAACAGAAGCGATGGCAACGTTTGCATCACAATCGCTTCGGTGGCAAGGAGCGTTGGGACGTTGCCGTGGGTCGCCACCGTGACCTCAAAGAGCGTGTGAAAGGCTCTTTGAAGCAGCTGCAATTGCGCCAACATGTTGGCGCGAAGAAGCGTCGTCGCGCTTTGCGGAAAGAGAAGCCACTCGATGACGATGAAGAAGACGATGCCGAGCGACACTTGAGCCAAGTTGGCGTACGATGAAATGGGCGCGACGGTGGTTGCACCGCAGGCGCAGCCGTTGAGGAAGACACCGCTGGAGACGTACGCCGAAACAAACCCAGCGTAGGACCACGCATGGTTTTGGAGGCTAATGTACATGGACATGGTGACCCACACAAACATGACGCTGTCGAGAAGGATCGTCGCGGTCGTCGACGACGTGCACCCGTAGCTGCAAATGAGGAAGAGGCACACGGAGGGCACAATGCTGCCGGCAACAGCGCCACCGACGCGGTTGGCCGTCCGGCTAAACGAGCCTCCTACCTTGACACATCAAGGCTTCGCGATTCCGTGGTAGCAAGTCCGTACCAACATGGCTGCCCCAGAGGTACGCGAGCGCCGAAGCCGCCGTGGGCGAAAACCCGAAGACATACACGGCAAAGACACTGCCCGACACGACAGCGCACGCAACCTTGATGCCGATCTGGAGGTTCTGCTTGGTGTACTGCGTCGGGTCCACCATACGACGGCACCAGCGCTGCAGAAACATCCAAGCGCGGAGTCCCTAGTCGCTTCGATAAGATTTTCGTGGTTATGGATCTGTCGGTACCGTGCTGTGTTGAAGCTGATTAAAGGTGACCGGAAATGTGCAAAGTGTCTCGCAGTACGACTCGAGCGCAAAGAGAAAGAGGTAGCACGTCATCGCGTCTTCAATGTCGCTCGGCGTCGCACTCTCGCAGCACTCGACGTGCGCCGCATGGACGGCTTGCAAAAGCGCCGCCATGGCCGTGCGCACCTCGTCCACCGCGTCCGTCGGCAACACTAGTCATGTCGTACTGCCTCGTCCACGAGGATACCACATACCTCTGGCATTGGCGAGGATGTCGGAGGCGATGGCGTCGAGCGCCCGCACCGATTTCATTTGCACGAGGTACACGTCTTTTGGTACACGTGATACGACGAGAGAATGGAAGGCGCCATGACGTCCTGTTTGTACAGCATCGCTCATCGCACGGAGGTCGTCCAGGAGACTCGCGTACAGTCCCAGGAATGGCTTGACGATCGACGTACGGATCGGCAAGAGAAAATGCAACCCGACGCTTTGCTCCCACCACACGTCGTCGAGTAGCGACTCCATGCGCGCTTGCTTGGCGTCGGCGTCAGCCAATTTCCGAGCGACTTCAAACGCGACGTGCGTACTGTGCCGGTTGGTCTTGCGCCGAAAGCAGAAGGCATCGACCATCAAATGCAAGAGGTCGGCGAGAACCGTAGTCGTCGACTGGATCTCGGCGCGGAGGCGGTGGATGGCACTACCGCCGCGTCATGATACGATGAAGAAATTGAGGATAGTGTAGTACAAAATGGGGTAGGGCACGAGCATGACAACAAGCGCGATAAGGCCGCCAAGGACGCCGAGGAGCAAGTACACAAACAGGTTTCGAAAGATGTTGGACGTGGCGAGCATCGGGTCGTTGTACGGTTTGAGGTGCGCAGTGTCATTTGGGTTGTTGGGGTTGATGAGCGTCAGTGCAAAGTAAATGTTGTTGCCCACCGCGAGTTTCTTGGTGATGGTTTCCTAGCACAGAGCTCGTGATAGTGACATATTTAGAAAGATAAACTATACCAGCGGGGTCATGACGATCGCCACCGTAAAGAGAATGATGCACGGGAGCATAATGTAAAAATCACTGGGCGTCACGTAGTAGGGCGTGCCGCTAAACGCGTGCTCGATCCGCACGAGCGTACCGTTCCCGAGACTGTTGGCCACTAGCAATCACGATGAGATATCATGTGCAATAGTTCAACATGCGTACCGTCGTCGGCCGAGTGGTACACGCGCGGCGTAAAGCACGCAAAGACGACAACGTTGAAGAGAAACGCGATGACGACCCCAAGCGTCTCTTGAAACGTCTCGCGGATCGTCGACCCGACGTTGGTGCCGATCGAGAAGATCATGGCGATCGCAATGTAGCTCACGCCGCCCAGAATGTACCAGGACGGGAAAAAGTAGTAGAGCTGGGGGTACGCCGCATCGCCATTCGACGGGCCAGTGTACGCGGTCTGGAAGATGGAGGCTACAATGACGCCGGCCCCCGCTCGCGCCCCCAGCTCCAAATTGAACTTAAAGCTCGCTACACCACGTTTGCAACCTGTGAAACCAGCATGTTGTCTACTAGTACCTGGCACTGCGATCGACGGCGCGGGTCGCTTGCGACCAGTCATTTCGATGCGAACACCGCTGCGGGCGTCAATGGTGTCTTGGCTCTTCGTGCGTGGGTCGCTTGGCGGTGGTCGCTGGAAGAAGTCGCAGAGACGGCGGGCCAACGCCGGTCGTACTTTGGTTGCTCTACGCCCCTCCACTTAGGCAACTTGCAGACATTGCTTGCATGGGACGTACGTCGTCTTCATCGGGCGCTTTGCTACTGATCCGCGGACAGCCTTTCGCAGCGTGGTTGTCCAAGTTGAAGTGCCCCAAATAGAACGGCCATGAAACTTGCGTGTCATCCAAATCCACCAATGAACGATCGTTCCCATCACAGAACGTACGCCGATTGGCAGATCTTTTCGAGAAGGCTGGTCGTTTTTTGTGCAGCGCTACGACACTTCTCGAGCCCACTTTTCTCCACAAATATAGCGCCATCGGACGAGCCAAGAAAAGGTGCAGCAACGTATCTCAATGATACACTTATAAACTTATACACGACTATAAACTCACAATAAAGCCGACGCGACTACGTCGACCTTATACTGGACATCGCGGCTGCGAAAGACGGCGTCGTTGGCATCAAAGTGAAGTCGAAGTACGCCGTCCGAGGGCGCCGACCACACGCCATCGATACACCCGGTCGCTTGATCCAGAAATTGCGCCGGTAGAATTGGTAGCACCGTGGATGCGCCAATAAAGCCGACGCTGACCAGCACGCGCTTGCCGGGGACGCCCAGCGTATACTCGAGCACGCAGCCAGAGGCGATCGAGCGCTCGATCGTTTGCGTTGAGCGCGGCGCCAGCGTCATGGAGGCGAGGCCGTCGTCATTGACGCCCGTGAGCGGGGTCGTCTGTGAATTGGGAAGGCCGCCGATGCAACCTCGCCCGTCGCACATGCACTGGCCGCCAAGGAACGTCGGGAGGTCCGAGAGATTGAGATAGTTGGCGACATACGGGCAGTCACTTAGTTGTTTGCCGCCGGGGCAGATAACCATCTTGGCGACCGTGCGTTCGCTCAAGAGCGGTTTGAGCAGCTTAAAGACCCAAGAAAACACCGCCGGTGTGTTGACAAAGATGGTGCGGCCAAGCAGTTGCGGGTACATTTGCTCCGAGAGCTTGCTGCACTCGCCCTGGACGCGCGAGAAGCGTGCGTCATGGCCGCGAAGCAGCGAAAACCCGCTAAAGTCCAAGATCGTACTGGCCTTGACCAGCGTCCGTGTCGCGCGCGACGTTTGGTCCAGGTAGACCATTGTCGCCTCCCGCGCCAGCATCATATACTCGACCACATCATCGTACGCAACATTGTTCATGAGCGCCTTGCTGTTGCACAGCCCAATGCGCACAATCACAAGCGGCTCGCCGAGACGCGTCAACTTGTGGTCGCCGGCCACCTAGAATCGTAATGTGGCGCCTGACTTCTTTGCAATGCGACAATAGTACCAAGTACTTTTCAATCTCGGCGTGGAGCGGAGGCTTGGCGCCAGCGTGCAGCGCGGCGATCGTGTCGGCCCGCGCCGCCCGCCACTGAATCGTGAACCGAATCGGAGCTTCGCACGCAGCCGGCGTCTCGTTGCTGAGGAGGTACCGCAACAGCCACACGTCGTCGTGCAGAGGCGTAAGGGCGTCGCCCACGAGCGCCCTGAGCTGGCCGAGGTCTTTGGCACGGCCGGCTAAGAGCGCGTCCAAGTTGCCGCCCGACGTGCCATCGTCCACCATCATCCCAAAAATATAGAAGGCTTCGAACTTCGAATTTGGATCACGTCATCGGGCAAAGTGGGACCACGACGCAAGGACAAGCACGCGGGAACACTCTTCGGAGCTCGGTTCTGGCAGTATAAACCACGAGGGCAAGTGGAATTTGTGATATAGAACGCATAGACTAATGGCGGTAGCGTGAGCAACCAGGCAAGACACCTTAGGCGTCGGCGGGGTCGTCGACGACCTCGACCTTGTACTGGACCTGGCGCCCGCGGAAGACCGCGTCGTTGCCATCAAACAAGATGGTGACGACGCCGTCCGCTGGTGCGGGCCACACGCCGTCGACGAGCCCACTCGTGTCTTGGAGAAATTGCTTTGGGAAGATTTCGATCACGTTGCTGTCGCCCGAGCTCTTGAACGCGACGCTCACTTCAACGCGCTTGCCGGGCACGCCGAGCGTGTACTCGAACACGCGCCCACTCTTGATGGCAATGTCAAGCGACTGCACCGAGCGCGCGGCGACCGTCATCGAGGCGAGGCCGTCGTCGTCGACGCTCGTGAGCGGTGTCGTCTGCGAGTTGGGGATGCCACCGATGCAGCCGCTTCCGTCGCACGAGCACTGGCCGCCAAGAAACGTCGGAAGGTCCGAGAGCTTGAGGTACTTGGTGACATACGGGCAGTCGCTCAGCTGCTTACCGCCGGGGCAGAACACCATCTTGGCCACGGCGCGGGCGCTCATGAGTGGCTTGATGAGGCGAAAGCAAAACGAAAAGATGGCGGGGGTGTTGACAAAGATGGTGCGGCCGAGCACCTGCGGGTACATCTTCTCCGAGAGCTTGCTCGTGTCGCCAAGCACCTTGGAGAAGCGTGCGTCGTTGCCGCGGAGCAGCGAGAAGCCGTTAAAGTCCAAGATCGTTATGGCCTTGAGCAGCGTCCGGGTCTCGCGCGACTTGGTGTCGAGGTACACCATCGTGGCTTCGCGCGACAGCATCATGTACTCGACCACCGCGTTGTACGAGACGTTGTCCATGAGCGCGCGCGGGTTGCAGAGCCCAATGCGCACGTAGAAGATCGGCTCGCCCAGCGCCGTGTACTTGTGGTCGCCCGCCACCTGGTACTTGCTCACTTCAGTGTGATATGGCGCCTGCCCGCCTTGCTTGATGCGCTCGAGCGCGTCCTTGCGCTCAGCCCGCCACGTGATCGTGAACCGGATTGGCTCCTCGCTCGCGGCCGGGCTGCCGTTGCTGAGGAGGAACCGCAGCAGCCAGACGTCGTCGTGCTCGGGCGTGAGAACGTCCTTGACGAGCGCCTTGAGCTCTGCGATGCCCGCCGCATGCTGCGAGAGAAGCGCGTCCAAGTTGCCGCCCGTGAGCCCGTTGTCCGTCATGAGAGTACTGCTTGAGGCGGATATTTCGAAATGCCCATCAGTGTCGTCGAAGTTGAGAGGTTGAACTTCGACGACTTTGCCGGCTTCAACGTTGTTGGCGACGTTCAGAGACCGAACATTTGCGATCTCTGGGACGACGAGCGTGGTCCAAGCATTATACTTGGCAGCGGATGTGTGCAGATTCGGGCTTGGCAGTCGGGTTCGAATACCAAGAATAATGAGGAGCGGGAAAGTTGACGAGCGAGGCTCCATCTTATGTACATGCACTCACTCTGCGCCATCGCACCGGTACCGGTAGCCGCCACGCCGTTCGAAACAGTGCATGTGGTCCTGCACGTGTTGGAGTCTCTCACGAGAGCAACCGAGATGCCTTCGCAACCGGTGCCTTGAGACGCTCCCGCGCCGAGACTACCCAAAAGACCGCTTCTTTGATCAAGTGATCTCGTGCCTACCTTGCTCGTACTTGGCGGATTGCGCGGACGATACATGAGCAATGGCCGCTCGAGCAACAACGGCTCATCGACGTCGATTTAGGTGTTGATTAACATTGCATGTATTTACGACTGGAAGCAGCTACTGCGACGGCGGACGGACCATATCCATGTGCATAATACCATCGTCATCGTACGGTTCGGACGTGGCTGCAAAGCCGAGCGACTTGTAAAAGCCTTCCAGATACACTTGGGCGCTAATCTCGATGGCTTTGCCTGGCCATCGCCGCGAGCACTCGGCGATCGCTTCCTGCATGAGCTGCTTCCCGAGACCGCCACCGCGGTGCTTGGGCGACGTCAGGACGCGGCCAATCATGGGCAGTTGCTGCGACGCGCCCTTCGTACCAGGGCCGAGGAGTCGGGCGTAGGCCATGATGGCGCCGTCGTCGGCGAGCGCGGCCAAGTGGTACACGATCGGGAGCTTGTCGACGTTGTCCGAGTCCAAGTAGGCGCATGATTGCTCGACGATAAAGACCTCGCAGCGCACGGCCATCATGTCGTAGAGGAGCGAGGCAGAGAGCTCCGCGAACGGCTTACACACCCAGTGGACCATCGTGGAAGATTGAAAAATGACCAAGTCAAACTTTTCGCCATTGGTGATTGGCTAAAAATATAGGACACGCATCGAGTGCAGGTCAGGGGTGTCATCATCCGGCTGGATCGCCCAGGTGGTGGCAGGGTGGCATGCAGGTCCGAGACGAGCGTCGAATGGCGCCGAAGGTATTCGAGGCTGAGCATTCATCGCTCGCATCTGACAAGACGCCATGACGGCCATCAACTGGGTGTGTAAGCCGTTCGCCAAGCTGTCGGCAACAACGCTCTACGACATCCTTCACGTCCGCTGCGCTGTCTTCGTCGTCGAGCAGCGATGCGCCTACTTGGACGCGGACAACATCGACAAGACACCGACGTGTCTGCATCTCGTCGGCACTGGCGCCGACAACCACGCGATTGCAGCGTATGCGCGCTTGCTCGGGCCGGGCACAAAAGGCCCGACGCAGAAGCACACGATCATTAGCCGCGTCGTGACGTCGCCCGCATATCGCGGGTCGGGCGTCGGCAAAACACTCATGACCAAAGCCATCGAAGCCTGCGACCACACGTGGCCCAACACACCGATTCTCCTCAACGCCCAAGCCCGCTTGGCGCCGTTCTATTCGTCACTCGGCTTTGTGCAGACATCCGAGCTCTACACGGAAGACGGGATTGAGGCCGTCGACATGCTCCGCGACTCGCCTGCCAAGCAAGGATGAGCGTCCTGAGGCTACAAGGCTAGCACGTAGGTGGAGCTGAGTTCACCATAACAATGTAACAACACAAAAAGGAAGTATTTTCCAGGCTTTATTCTCGAGCGTAAATTGGCTCTATGATATAGTCGCTAGTGCTGACCAAGCACGAGTTCGAGGCCGTCGTACGCCATCTCGACGTCGAGGTTGGCGTCGCGCAGCACGTCGGCGTGGATCGAGCTATTGTGCGCGTCGTAGTCGAACTCGTGGCTCATGCCCACGAGGTACGTCTTCTTGGGCCGGAGGACCTTGGCAATCTCGATCGCTTGCGGCAGATTGAGGTGCGCGCCATGCACGTCGTGCAAGTAGATGGCATCAATGACGAGGACGTCGATTGGCGCTGGGTTGGCGAGGAGGTGCGCCCGCGTCGCGTCTGGGAGCTCGTGGAGGTCCGAGAGGTACACGAAGCGCGCGCCCACGTCCGCACCAAACTCAAATCCGCTGCAAACGTACCCTTTTCCGTGCGCGACGGGCAGCGCCGTGAACGCGACGCCGGCCGCATTGAACGCGCCAAGGTCCTCGAAGAGCTTCCAGTCGAGCTTGGCCGTCCAGCGGTAGATGGTCGCCTCGGCTTCCGATGGCTTGAGCATGAGGTAGTCAAACTTGGGCCCGACCTCGGCCTTGGTGCGCGCGTGGCAATGCACGTACATGGGCTCGTTGGCGATCTTCTTGTCCTCGCCCGTCTCGGCGCAGCGGGTCGACTGGAACACTTGCAGCTCGCGGAGGTCGTCCATGCCCAAGCACGCGTCGGCGTGGCCATGTGTGAGGACGATGGCGTCAAGCGACACGATGTTTTTCGCCGGGAAGACCTTGAGAATGCTGTCGCGGAACGTCTTGCCACAGTCGATGAGCACATTGCGCCCGCCGTAGCGCACGAGGAGGCTCGGGTTGTTGCGCCGGTTCTTGGAGCCGGGCACCGCGTGGGCGTGATGACACACGGCGCAGTTCTTACCGCTGAGGAGGCATTGCATCGACGGGACGCCCGTCGATGTACCCGTTCCGAGGAAGATGATCTCCATGAGGCTGCCTGTGGCTGGCAACTGCAGGTTTGAACGGTCGCGATAGCGTAAAATACGGGACAAGCTTCAAAGATCCATTATGATTGGCTGAATTGTGCGGAAATGTACGCTCCGACTGCAAATCTTCGTCTATTTCCACCCAATAGATTGCCGCTCGCCGCGTTGCGCAGCGCTTTTCCTGGAAGCTTTCTCTCCGACGCTGCGGCACAGCTGTACCTTGCAATTCCAAGCACGTTAAACCACAGCAGCCAAGGAAGAATATGCTTGCACAATGCAGGATCGCTCAGCCGTCCACTTTAATCGGCGTGTTTTTATCCTCGACGGCAATCGACACTGAGGTTCCTGGGGACCTGCAGTGCACACGTATTTTGCATCTTTTTATATTGTTCTTTGTATGCAGAAATGATAGCTGGTTAATCGTATGCTCAATGCATATAATAGGCAAGATGTCGCGCCTGACATGGCTTTGAAATCGGACCACGAGCGCAATATTCGTGCGACGATCGAGCAGGTGCATGCTGCGCCGCCTGTCTCGCGCCTTCTCGACCACGCCCGCGACGATGCCAGAGCTCGAGATCGTCGTCCTCGGCAGTGGGCCATCGTCGTCGGTGCCGGTTGTGCGCTGTCTCGTGACCAACCCGGCATGTCCCGTGTGCCCCGAAGCGCTCGCGAACCCGGCCTCCAAGAACCGGCGCAACAACCCGAGCCTCCTCGTGCGCCTCTTGGGCCAAACTGTGCTCATCGACTGCGGCAAGACGTTCCGCGACAGCCTCTTGCGCGCACACCCGCAGCACAGTCCGTTTGCGATCGATGCTGTCGTCTTGACTCACGGCCACGCCGACGCGTGCTTTGGCCTTGACGACCTGCGCGACGTGCAGCAAATTGACGCCGAGACCAAGACGCTCAAGCCGCTCGGGGTCCATTGCCACCAGCGCACCAAGGACGAGGTCGAGGCCAAGTTTTCGTACTTGTTCCAGTCCAAGCATTCGGGCGGCCGCTGGACCGCGCAGTTGCAGTGGCAGCTCTTCGACGACTTTGATACATTCGAGGTCGGACGTGGCGTGCGCTTCCAGGCGCTGCCGCTCTGGCACGGCAAGGACTACGTCGCCAGCGGCTTCCTCTTTGGCGCCGAAGTTGGGAAGCGCATCGCGTACCTCTCCGACCTGAGCGCGATCAGCGACGACGCCATGGCCATCTTGCAAGCGGCGCCCATCGACGTGCTCTTTATCGACGCGCTCCATCCCGAGCAGTTTCATGGCACGCACATGAATTTGATCCAAGCGCTCGAGACCATCTCGGTGCTCAAGCCCAAGCAGAGCTACCTCACGGGCATGGGCCACCAGTTCAACTACCACAACCCGCCGCCGATGCTGGCCGAGTTTGTCGCTGCCAAGCAGCTGGGCGTCGAGATGGCGTACGACGGCCTCCGGCTCGCGTGGTGAACCATCGTGATCGTAATAGAACTTGCATGCGTGTTCGAAGCGTACCTACGCCAGTGCTTTCGCACCCACTGTTGCGTTGTTGGCACGTGCGCCTTGCCCATCGCAAGAGGTACGGAGATGCAAGTGTACATCGCTGCCAACGGATGGTCGCACCCCGCCGAGCCATAAAAGCCGTCGACGCGTCGCTGTGCGTGCAACGACCAAGCATATCAGGCATCGGCTTTGCCTGACGCCATTGCGCACGTTAGCTGCAAGCAGCTGCGGCCGCATGCGCATACCCACGCTCGCCTCTGTCGCAGGCGTGGCATGGCCATCACAGGCCCGCCCCCGCGACAAGTCTTGTCGCTGCCCTTTCCTATCGAACACGTGGGCGCGATCTTCGAAAAATCAGCCAATCAAAGTCGATGTATCATCTGGTACGGCGGGGATTGGCTAGCAATATCGAAGTAATTTTTGCTCGAAGTTTGGCAGTTTCCATTTTGCGCAGGCCGCAGCAGTACCCCATGTACCTACCGCTTCTGCTGCTCAACGACGACGATGACCTCATGCGATGGCGTAGGAGCGAACACGCCTCACCGACGACCTTATACTATGAGAAGCAGCAGAGCTCGTTCGGCTTCCACGCGGGCGATACGCCCAAGGCAAAGCGCCGCATCATCAGCCGCGGCAAGAGCACCATCTCGCGCCAGATGAGTCGGCCCGAAGAAGAAGCGCACGGCAAGCTGCGCATCAACATGGGTACGCGGCGCGCACTTGGCGCCGAAGCCCGGTCACGAGGTACACTATTGCGAACAAGAATACCAAAGGGAAGGACTGACCGCCTGTCTGTAGCCGAGTTCAAGATGAACCTGCAGCTGGCCGTGCGCACTGCTTGTGGCGTTCTCGTCGCGTCCATGCTGCAGACCAAGAACCCGAATGTCAACACGAGCGACGTGCATCCCAAGTACTGGGCGCTCTTCCCCGACTGGTACATCCTCGGTGGCATCAGCTACGTGGCCGTCGCGTGTATCTTTTCTTGCGGCAAGAACATTGGCGCCACTGTCCGCGAGATGTTCCAGCAGGTCGCGGGCGTCGGAATGGCGTTTGTCTTCAACTGCATTCTCTTTTGCTTCATGACCCCGCGAGTCTTCAACACCAACGACGAAGGTACATCGATCTACCCAGTTTCCATGTGCTCATGCTGCTTTCTAGTCGCCTTGGCGATGGCCGACGGCACGCTTCTCCAGATCAACAAGTCATTTAGCGGCACGCCGTACTACGTCAACAACAGCGACTTCTTCACGGTGCTGCCGTTCGTGATGCTCTTCAACGCCATCGTGCTTCTCCTGCCGTTCGTACGTCCATCGAAGAGGTATAGCGCGTTCCTTACCTCGAATGGTGTAGGAAACCAACACGAAAAAGTTTGCCATGGGCAACAACTTGTACTTTGCACTCACGATCGTGAGCCCAAACGACTTTAACGACGCGTCTACGCTCAAGCACCTCGGCGACCCATACTACTCGACCGACTACATCCTCATGAACCTCTTCGTCTACATGTGGCTCGGCGTCCTCGGTGCCTTTGTCGCATTCCTTGTGCTCTGGATTCCGTACCCGATCTTGTAGACCGAAAAAATGATATGTAACCGTCAAGACTCATCATGCTGACATGTCTAGTGCAATCCGCGCCCTCCAGAAAGAAACCACGTCGGCGGCCGATACGATCCAAGACCTGCTCAACTTGATTGTCGACTCGTACTGCTTCAAGAACAAGGACGTCGAGCACATGAACTTTCTCAAGCTCAAACTCCAGCGCAAGTTTGACTTGGCGGTCGCAAAGAAGGACACGATGTACGCACTTCTCAACGACGTGTGGTGGGAGCAGAGCATCGGCTTGCACTACGCGCTCAAGTTTCAAAAGTCGGTCACGAAGCCGTACATCGACTTGTATGCGTCGCTCATCGACAACCTCCGCGCGATGAACCAAGCGATCCACCTCGAGCGCTACGAGCGCCTCCACGAACTCTTTATGAAGAAGCTCCAGCGCCAAGTGTACGTCGTGCAGCTCAAGTCGGCCGCCGTGCTCCACGAGATCTCGGATGAAATCCACCTCGTGCACAAAGGTATACGAATACTTGTGTCGGCGCGTTTCTCATGCTACAGTAGACCTCAATTTGACGCAAATGGACGAACTCGAGCGCCAAATGGAAGGGCTGCTGCAGCTCTTCCAGAAAACGCAGACCAAGATCTACTCGCGCGAAAAGCCAACGGTCGCCGACGTCGAAGGCAACATTCCGCTCAACCTCTTTCTCTTCTCGCTCCAGTCGTTTTGCACGACATTGGTTGAGTTTCAGTCCAAACTCAACAAGAAAACACACAACACGGTATGCACTTGTTCGCTCGACTAAAAACACGCAAGAGGCTTATGTTGTTCTGAACTAGGGGTCGCGCGTCCGCAATTTTTTGAAAAAGTCCATGGGCGCATTCGTGGACCCGGCCAAGTACACCAAAGTCAAGTTTATCACGGGCGTCAAGGTCTGGAGCGCGATCCTTGTCGGCTGCTTCCTCTCGGTCTACGTCTTTGCCTACTCGGCCACGACCGCCACCACGATCGCCTACGTCATGGGCAACCACATCGGTTTGTACCAATGCAAATGCTACTATCTTGCTCACGTGCTCGTGCGTAGGTGGCTCGTTTAGCGTGACGCTCAACCGTGTCGGTGGCGTTGTCGCCGGCTCCATCATCCCGTCTGTGATCCTCTTCTTCATCTGCTCGTACGGCTGCGTGAGCCAAGCGTTGGTCATTGGCATCAGCAACCTCTTCCTCTTCGTCTGGGTCACGTTCTCGCTCTACATCAAGTGGAAGGGCGGCTTCGAGTCGTACGCTGGTCTTGTCTCGGCCTACGTGGCCACTGGCATCTTTCTCAAAGGCTGCGCGTGCGCCGGCACCGCGACGATGCCCATGTCGTCGTACTCGAACCTCGCGCAAATGTCTCTCGGCATCATCCTCTTCATCATGGTCGAGCTCTGCTTCTGGCCCCAGTCGGCGATCGGCCTGCTGCGCGAGAACGTGCAAAAGCAAATGCAGCTCGGGCAGTCGGCGTTCACAACTTTGTTTGAGCAAAACCTGAGCGCAAACGGCGTCGTCGACGACGAGACCATGCGCGACGTCCAGGACGTGGTCGAGACGCAGGCGCCGGCGCTTCTCATTGAGCAGAAAGCGCTCTTGCGCGAAGCCAACTTTGAGCCGCTCTTGTGGCGACCGAAGTTTTCCCAGCAAAAGTACGAGCGCGTCCTCGACGGCTGCCAGCGCCTCCTCAACAACACGCTCATTTTGTACAAGCTCGTGACGTGGTTTCAGTTTCGCAAGGCGAACCCGCACACGGAACCAGGCCCGCGCCGCCTCAGCATCGAGCCGTCGTCGCTCGTTGCGCGGCCACTCGACCGCAACAGCCTCGCCGAACTCGAAGACAATGCGACGCCGAAAGAGACGTGGGCCTTCTCGACCAAAGAGCTCGGCGCCGCGATCCACGATACGTTCGATACGCTCCACTCGCTCTTTGGCGAGGACTTTCGCTACGCCGACGCCGACCAGACCGCGCTCTTTATGCAGATGAAGGAAGCGTTCCGGCTTGCAGACACCGACTGCTCGGGCGAGATCGACGCAGATGAGGTCAAGACGATGCTGCAGCACGTCTTTCGGCAGTCGGGCGCGATGAAGATCGACGAGATCGACGAGTACGTAGCCGACTTTATGGAGATCGTCGACAAGGACAAGAGCGGCAAGGTGTCGTTCGAGGAGTTTATGGAAGCGCTCGAGAACGGCCTCAAGCTTGAAGTCGAAGTCTTTCAGCACCGTGCCCCCGATATTCCGACGCCGGGTCTGCACCGAACCGTGTTGGCACCGATCAACGAAGCGTCCGTGACCGTCGACGTCCTCGACGTCATTCCAGTCTTGTCGCCTGGTGCCGACAACTCGACGGCGCCGATGCCGGTCGAGGAAGCTTTGTGCCGCGCCCACGACATTTTGGACGTCGAGACGTTTTCGCTGCTGGAAGCGGCCGCCACGATGCGCCGGTCGTACGCCGCGTGGCTCATGGAAAACAACCGGTTTGAAAACGTCTCGATGGAAGAACTCCTGCTCCTCAGCTGCCTCATCAGCGGCGTCTCCGGTATCGCGCGCAACCTCGCGCTTCTCGAAGAAATGACGGTCCAGCAGTAGAGAATCTAGTGTCAACTATACTTATAAGAGC